GATTTTTTTGAAAATATGAAAATAGAAATTAAATCAAATAAAATAGAAAAATAAGGAATTTGCGATTTTCAAGGTCAAAATCTTTTAGAATTTTATTCTAAAGGAGTATTGTTCTTCGATTTTTTTTGGATTTTCTCGAAACAATTCAGAGTAAATCGAAATAGTAGCTTCTAACTTACATGATAGGCTGAAACGTTTAACCCTATTTTGCAACCCTGAAAATTAACGCACAAAAACAAAAAACAAAAAAACAAAAAACTCTAACAAAACTCTAAAATTAAAATTCTAAAATTGGCTAAAATCAACAAGAATCTTCGGCAACGGAGCCAATTTGATCCGCTGCGCGCATGGATAAAAAACGAGTATTTTTGAAAACAGTAGTAACGGTAACGACAATCTCGAGTATCGTTCTCACAAGGATTCTTGCATTATTTCAACCAACTAAAGAAGCGGTTTATGGGGGTTTTAAGTTTTGATTTATAAAATAAGAGAAAAAGTGATTATCAGATAATCTAAAACGACTAATCCAACTGATTCGGGTTCAGACTTATCATCGGTTATTATAACACCAATCCCTAAGCGGCTTAAACCCTATCCTATTATGATATTAATCAAACAAGTACTTATCAAAATCATACGAATTATGTTTCTGTTACCAAATTAAGCAAACGGTTAAGAATATAATGAGTTAACGAATTAAGCAAACGATAACACACAATTAAATTTAGGAACATGCATACAATCGAATTTAATCAATTCTATCCTATGAACATAATCGAATTAAGAAAACGATTGCAATCAAATTAAGCAAATGATTTTATAGAAAATAATTGAACCAAAATCGAATTAAATTGGTATTTGTGAGGGAAACCCCTTATATAGAAAACATACTTGAGTTTTGATGATAACAAAACACGATCATGAATGAATCGGTTTTCTAGACTCTACCTCTATAACAAATGTAATATTTCACCTCTCATATCCTTCTTATATCCATCTAACGTGTCATATTAAATTCAATATATATGGGAGACCATTGATTATGACTAGATACATAAAAACCACAAAAATATGTATTTTTGCAGATTTGCAGGGTTTGAGTCGAGCACAGGTCGACGCATGGTCCGCGTATGGATCAGTGCAAAAAGCCACGGATCGGCGCACGTCGGTCTATGGTCGACGCATACTGTGAAGACTTTTCAATTTGCCTAAATCTGCAGGCTATGCGTCGATGCATAGTCCTGCTATGGTCGACCGTTCGCGCGTTTATGTTGTTGCTGAAGACTTTCCATTTTGGATGAAAAGTTGTTATGTTTGTTGGCTTGTTGGTTACTATATATAGATGTTTTATGTTCATTTCTAAATAACAATTGAGATTTTGAGTCAATTGGAAAAGAACAAGAAAAGTGAAATAGGTGCCATCAAATCTCTTCATCTTCATCCTCAACAGTTCACAACACAACAATTACATACAATAATTCTTGGTGTGCTTTGTGTCTCGTTCAAGGTGATAGGGTCTGAAGCCGTCGATTGAGAATCCGGTTCGGGTTGAGTTTGTGGCAGGTTTTTCTTGAATAAAACCTCAAAGGTTTTGTCCTCCAAGATTCGGAGAATTTGGGGGGTTTTTGGTACGGATCGTCTCTACCAACTTTCAGCTGAGCGAAGGTGATTGAGAAGCGGAAGGTTTCGTCAATCTAGTAGCGTGAATCAGTGAAGTGTGCAAGAGAGTTCTGGGTTCGATTTGTGTGTGCTTGAGATCAGTCGAGCCGAGGGTTTGAAGAACGGAAGGTTATTTAACAAAGGGGCTGGAATCAGAGGTCTACTCACAACGATCAAAGAACTTGATTCGACTCGAATCAAGGAACAAGGAGAGAAAGCATCATCAACATCAAGAGAGCTTGTTTGTATATTTTGCTTGTCTATCCTTGTATAAACATTTTAACTCTACAGGTGATATCTATTATATTGAGCTCAATTCTAGTTTTATAATTGAGGGCAGACGTACCCCGAAGCGAGGACGGGGGGAACCGCCTCAACGAATCTTTGTCTCCTTTACTTTTCTGCACTTACATTTTTGCTTTAAAATTGAGTAATTTTAGTATAAGCAATTTTATCGAAATTATTATTTGATTGAGTAAGTGCTTGTCGTTGTTTTGAACTCTAGTACAATAGTATATTGTACAAGGAATATAAAGTTACTTACTCAAGTCAAAACTCACTTGGAGTGCCTCGCACACCAAGTGTTTGATAAATTGTCTACACCAAAATTCACTTGTGTTGTTTACATATTTTGTGGTGATTGGGTAGCATTGGAACTAGTCCTACTAATTAGTGATAAAATCAATTGATAGTGTGACTAGTGTGTTGAATCTATTTTTGCTCATTATCACTTCAATAAGGCTAGACGCATATCCGGTCTAACGGTTCGTTTTAGACGGTAATTTTTCCACGGCCGCTTCCGCAAATCAAATATTTTTAAAACCAAATTTTAATTGGTAGCGCCGACTGATTTTTTAATTGGGATCTATTCAACCCCCTATTTTAGATCCTAGCCATCGTCTAACAGTATTATAATAACCTCAAAGTGATGGAACCCGTAAGCAGCAGGATTTGCCTTGGGAATTAATTTTCCATGAAAATCGTACAAAACACAATGAAATTCGTAAAAAAAAGAAGGTAAAGTGATAGTAATACGACTTCTAGGCATAAGAAAGTATCAACACTTTTGGTTTTAACCCAACTGGGTCGAAAAACATAAAAAACCCGGCCCAAAACTAAATATTTCAAATGGCATATTTCGGATCCTGACTTCAACGAATTATTTAGACCTACTACACTCTAAATCATCTTCTGCCTTAAACATAAAAGTTGTAGCTATCTATCTTAGCTTTCAAACACCTATTAGAATGCATAAATCCGATTCTCGCAGCTTCAGTTATGATTCAAATAGTGGACATATATCAAATAACCGCTAAAGCTGAAAATAAGTTGCGAAAATAAAATAAAGGTAAAAACAAACTTAAATATGAAAACACATTAAAATAGTAAAAATACACAAATAAATTGTAGGAATGCCTAAGTATAACAATGGAAGAATGTGTATTAAAATGTACTGATCAAGGCTCTTGTACCATGTCATAACACTCTTCCTAAAGGTTGTGGGGAACAATCTGCACTTGATAGCGCCTCTAACGTTGCGATAATCAAGCAACATATCGATGTTTTCGATGTGCTCATTGGGATCTATCATTCCATCGTATGTCCCTAGGTTCAGGGGTCTTTCCAGCACGACGGGAAGGGGAGCGTCCGTGATCTATCGAGATAGTGGGTCGTGTGGGTTTTCTTCATCACTCCAGAGCAGTGAGTGCAACAGGGAGTAGTGTTACTTCTCTAGCTGAGGGCTGTCATTGCAGCGTGGCCTGAGTCCTTTGGTTGACCCTTCAATTTGTGCGATGGAGAACGACGGTTATTTGGATGTCTGTTGGCTTTACTTTTCTTGGCAACTAGAGAACGTAGGTTCTCGCGGGGAGGAGTACAGTTGCACTTCAAGGGCTGTGTCCTTTCCAACTGTGGGCGGTAGCCTGGTCGTTGCGGTGGCGGGGTTCGGGACTCATACCATTGGTGTCTTTGCGGGGGAGAGCATGGACAAAATTCTTTCTTTAATACTCTGATCCTCTCATTTTGTTGGTAGATCAACGTGTTGGTCTGGTTAAGGGCCACGACCAGGGCCACCATGGTCGGGTCGACGTTGGCCTACATCGTGATTGGTTGGAACTTCTCTGGCGTCTTCTCCAAAGCTTTTTGGACTTTGCGGGTCTCGACGTACTGAACGTCATTATAGGCCCATCGTCTGAGGATGGGGAGGTGGTGTGCCCGTCTCTCCTCGTTGTAGTGTCTTCATCCAGAATTGGCATATCGTTGTTGTTGTCGATGTTGTGGATGAGAGAAATGATGGTTTTGTGACCGCTATTGTCGTCGTGTTGACCGACCATGATTGGTTCTTGAAGTTTTACGCTTTGACCTATTGGTTTCAAGGAAATAAAAGATGAGGAAACAAGATTCCTACAGGCTGCCACACTGATCTAACCCGTCGATCAAAATAGACGGTCAACAACACGTTTGCGGTCTTAACGGTCGATGAAAATAGGGGGGACCTGCAGACACTCCGATGCTTAAGTCAGTTCGGATGGAGAGGTGAGCAAGAAAGAGTAAAGAATATAATACATGACCCTCATACAGATGAGAATTTTTATAGTGAGCCTCTAGTGCTGGGCTAATGATTTCCGTTGTGGGCTGAGTGTCTAAGCTCACAACGAACGACTGCTAGGATTCCTACGTGGATGAAGGATGAGCAGCTCGTGCTCACCGTCTTGGATCAACCGCTCCGCATTTCTCGATTAATGGACAAACTTATCCGTTGCGAAAAGCAGAAATGTTCCACGAGATGTGCAAGTCGGTTGGTGACGTGTCCTCAGGCGAGGAACACGTGAGAAATGTGTTTTCTACTGATTCCAACGGGTTGTACCAACACTCTGGACTATCCTTAATGTAGGACTGAATTGCGCTGTGTTCGACGCTGCCAACCAAAAACCTAATCCAGAACAATGTACATTTAAAAAATATAACTATACGAGTGTTTATATATTAAGAAAAAAGAAAGTAAAAATGACATTTGCATCACTCTTAATTACTATTTCACTTTCTGACATTTAAAAAAATATATTTCACTTTCATTTACATCATTTATTTATTTATTTATTTTAATTTGTTGTGGACTTTTTTATTTTATTTTTCTTAATTTGTGTCGACTTTTTATTTTATTTTTGTGATGCGGCTCAATTGATTATTTCATAATTACAAAATGATTTAGACCTTTACGGATTGGTCAGTTGCACACAACATACAAAGAACGTTCGGTAATCTCCAATTCAACCTAACCGAACCCTCTCTCTTTCTCTCACAACCCTCGCCGGAGTTGGAGCTCCTCCGCCTTCGCCGGCATGGACTTGCCAAGACACCGTGCCACACGAACAACCTCTTTAAGGGACACATCAGACTCCTCCACTGGTAGCTGGGATGCCATCGAATGGACCAAAATTGAGGTTCCTTTTCGAAATTCAACCTCTTTATTCTTTTTATTCATTCTTCAATTCTTTCCCTTTTTCGTTAATTTCGTTCTTGTAATCTTTTTGCAGCCAATTGCGCGCTTTGTCTCTCATGCCAATCTTGATTTCTTGCTCGATGATGAACGTGTTATGGCAGAAGTATGCAACACCACTTTCTTTTTTGTATAATCTTGAAAATTATTCAATTTTTCTTCCTGAATTGATTCATTAATTTTTATGTGTAATAGTAAGAATAGTGCAACGAATGGTTAGCGTGGTTTTAATTTCCAGTGCATTAGGTTTGGTGCCAGTATTCCACTTGATATGCTATTTGCATAACAAGTCAACTAGATTCATTTCATGAAACCTTGATTAGGGTTAGTCACCCTGCCATGTTGTTATCTACGCGTGAATGCCATACATTATGTGAACTCAGCATGCTGAGTTTGACACGCGTAACATGTAAATGCTTTGCTAATTGGCTTTGAAATCATTACACGGGGGTAGTTATTACCGAATATAGTAGTACAAATATTGATTTACAAAGATGATCAAATATCTGGCATCTGTCTTGAGTTGGCGGTATCTGGTGAATGTCTGTTCCGGTATTCTGTGTTATTGGAAACTGGTTTATATGATGCTAAAGATTTTTTTAGAATGGGTTCACGTGATCTTTGTGGATGCATTAAATGAAACTTGGCTGGTGGTGGCTCGTAGAGAACAAATGTAACTCCTATCGGCTAAGTGGGCTTGCCGGCGTTCCAAATGCGCTGAACTTAGTAGCAACACCTAAGGTTCTCAATAGTGTAATTTTACATCTTACGATTATTTACGACCAACTTTCTTGGTCGCATGTGTCACTAGCGATATTCTTGCCTGTTTTCCTATGCATTTTCAATTAAAGTTTGCTTAATTGTTAGTTATGTTTTTAAGGTTATTTTTCATATATTAATAAATATGTGTGTGTAATTGTTTAAATACAACTTTTCATTTTGTTAGAATCTTATGATCCATGTTAGTTATGATTTGATAAAAAACAAACCTGTGTTACAATCACATTTATTCCATATTTTTCTCCCCTTTCCCATCTTTTGTGGTATTTTGATTTTGACAACCTTGTAGTCAGGGACTTGCAGATAAAGAATGAAGTATGGAGGCTTCATGTCTAGATTTGCAGTAGGCATCCTATTGATTAAATAGGTTGCATTGAAACATGCATGATCTCGAAACTTGAGAGACAAGCTTGCCCCGTGTCAAATAGTGTGAGTTTTGTTTCCACAATAGACATGTGTTTGCACTTTACTGAGCCATTTTGGTGATGTGTGTGTGGCATGCTAGCCTGTGAGCTATGCCTTTTGTGTGTTGAATAGAGAGGTTAGATCCTGGAACTCTCCTCCACCATCAGTTTGCGCAGTACAGTGTTGTCGATGGCGGTCCATGGCGGAGGGCCAAAATCCCACCATACTGTCTGCTTTGCGGCGCCGTTATAGCGGAAAAATTCGCAATGTCAGTCGATATTTACCATTCCGGCGAGCCCAAAAACCGCCCATGTATATGTCCGCCACAGCGGCCATGGCGCCGCTATTTGATAACACTGAACCTTAGTACTGAATTGTGCTTCAACAACAGTGAGAGAGTGTGTGTAAGTGAGTAACACATCAGATTTTGGTTTAATAGGAAAAACCTAAATATATTTAGTAGTTGCATCCACAAGTCAACAAGTACTTATAACCGCAAGAAGAAAGCATATGAGCAGGCTCCCATTCATCTGCAAACAATAGGTCAAAAGCTGAACTATAATGTGAATTGGAAAGACAGCTAGGTAGGGATCCCAAGTATCTTTTGTATGTCATTGAAAGTTGTTGGGACTATCACAAGTGATGGAATTGACACAAGTAGGAGGAGACACAATAGTTTCTTGAAGAGTGCAAAAGGAATAGAGACTGTCTTTGCCTAGGTAGCATTAGAGAATAACTTTTAGAGTTGGCCTTTGATTTAACCAAGCATTTGTCAACATGAAACTCAAACAACACATTATTACCCCTTGCAAATTGACTAACATATCTGAAATTGTTTGTGATGCCGGGAACGAGTAATAAACTTTTAAGTTTAAGATTTGTGCGAGGTTTGTAAGGTGAGTGAAAGTGTGTGGAATCCATAGAAGTAAAAGGAAAGCCTTTCCCATTTCCAGCAAGACTTGATCTTTTCCTGAAAATGTAATGCCATCAAAGAAGTGTTGAGAATTATTTATTAGATCGTCTCTTGCTCCTGAGTCAGGGTACCAGTTTTGACCAACCTGACTCTAAGAGCTGTGACTCTCAGCATTAGTACCAGTAATAAAGGCATATGTGGTTGTCTTTGTTGAGGAAATGGTGTAGGAAGTAGAGGTCGTGGAGGAAATCCAGGAGGAGGTCCACATGGAGCAGGTGCTTTCCATTGATTAGAGTTAGAGGTCCATTAATTAGGACCGTTAGTCCACCGATTCCATCCATGTGGGGGAGGTCCATGCCATTGTTGAGGAGCATTCCAAGATGAAGGCATCTGGAGGAGGGTCTGTGATAACACATGCTAGCATCATGACCTGTTTTGAAAGTGGTCTGACATTGAACTATGAATAGACCTCCACATGGAGCAGGTGCTTTCCATTGATTAGAGTTAGAGGTCCATTAATTGGGACCGTTAGTTCACCGATTCCATCCATGTGGGGGAGGTCCATGCCATTGTTGAGGAGCATTCCAAGATTAAGGCATCTGGAGGAGGGTATGTGATAACAAATGCTAGCATCATGACCTGTTTTGAAAGTGATCTGACATTGAACCATGAATAGATCTCCAAATCGACCTCCCTGCCACGATTGAAGCCACGACCACTAGGATTGGCACGGTATCCATTGAATTGGGGGCATAAGATCAACATTAGGTGCAGAGGTGACATCAACGGTAGGCTGAGATGTATAGTTAGGCACAGAAGGTGTGGCATGAGCAATATTCATAGAAAGTGGTTCCGTTAATACAACTTTCTTCATCTTTTCAAGTTTGGACTCAACTGGAAGTAACATGGCTCCAGCTTCAATTATAGGAGAAATAGCAGCACGATATTGAATAATAGAAGCAAGACCACTATGCTATTTTCGTGCCCTCACTCTCCGGGGCCAACTGTTGAGCATCCAGTCTGTTAGAGGACAAGAAGGTGGCAGGTGGGAGATTGGTATTAATGGGGGGGTGGGTGGTGGGGGGGGTGGGGGGGGGGGGGTTCATTTAAGAGATCAAATAATGATGATATTTGCTGCTTCAGCTGAGGTTATCCTGCCAGACTAGATTATTAGGCAGGTAGGGGTTCAAATAAGAAATCAAATGGGGATTACGCATGCTGGTTTAGCTGTGGTAAAAAAGGGTACTGTTGACTATGGATAATATCCAGTAAGACAAGACTCCCAGGCTGGGTATTGAACTCGTTGTGTCAATTTTTCAACAAAAGTACTCCTATGTCAAATGTTGTGTGCCTTCTTTATTTCCTACTACTTGCATGAAAGCCTCAAACTTATATTGTTAATGATGATGTTACTTCTGAAACAGACATATACACAGAATTCAAGACAGTGAATAAGGGTATTGATTTATTTAGAAATATTCTGCCTAAATATTTTATATCATATGTTCATTACTTTGCTTGACAGTGTTGCAATCTTTGGTGCTAGTTAGATTAGGCACTGCTGCTATCATTACTTTGCTCGACACCACTGCTATCCACAAACCAATTAGGCAATAAAGAGATAAATTTCTCCTCAAATATGAATGGGTTGGATGCAATCTGCATATTAGCCATTATAATAACATCTGACAAATATAATTTATTGTGTGTGTGTCTCTATCTTTTGCTAATTTTTACTTCTCGCTCTATTCTTAATGTGTGTGTATCGTTTGCTAATTTTTACATTTTTCCAGTTTTAATCTATTGTATGGAATTAAATTGGTATATGGTGTTTACTCTCAGGGACATGGTGTTGTTCTTGTCAATACAGATGATGCAGGCGTGTTGATTGTAACAAACTTTCGTGTAATATTTTTGGTAAGCTCCTTTATATGATATTTTCTGTGTTCAAATTTTTTTAGGCATTATGATCTTGAAGCAATCCCAATGTTAGTGACTTGGAAATGCCCAGTCTTGTACGTGACTGAATATGCATAAGAAATACAGTGAAAATGGTTTCATAATTAAGGGGTTTGGATTAATTATAGTGACAAAGTTCTTCAATTTCCGGCTTACCCAAACCTAACATTTGTAGTCATCATTTATCTCATAAAAGTGTTTGTTGATTATTCATTCTATTTCCCCCAAAACCCACCAAGCTTCAAACACTTATTCTTTAAGACCTCATAGAACTTAAATTACCTTCAATCTAACCTTAAACACTATTCTATCACTCTATAAATTACCTTTTACATTCAAGTACACCCCAAAATGCTTCAGCTCACCTGTTCTGTATCAGGAGGGGCTCATCCTAGATAACCCTCACATTGACACCCCTTAAAATCCTATTCTCCTTTCCTACATGACTAACTTCACTCTTTTTTAAGAAGAGTTGTTTGAAGACAATTTCTGATGGGGAGTGAGAGAATTTTATAAGCTGAAACTAGAAACTATAAAGCCAGACACCACATGAGCTCTGCTGCTGATTTGTGTGTATTTTTGTGTCTTATTCTGTTGCTTATCTGGAACATTTAGTTACCTGCCAATTTATCTTTCGTATTAACTACATTCACTGATTTACTTCATTGCATTTTCTAGAGTGAGGGAACTAGAAAAGTTATTGCCCTTGGAACAATACCACTAGCAACCATTGAGAAGTTTAACAAGATAGTAAGTTCTTGCAACTTCTTTACAAATTTGTTGTGTTTATTTTTGTTTACTTTGGATATGTAATGCAAGATTGTCCGAACAATCATGCGTGACTAATTTGTTATGCTATAAACATCATATGTACTGGTTTTGGATTGACCAAACATATCCATGTTCTCTGAGTCTGGTTTCAGCTTCCTTTTGAATCGCATCTGTTTTTGCTTCTCTTTTAAACATACATTTCATTTTTATATTTTTCTGTCACAATTTACTCAATAATTGTAGAACATTTATAGTCTTCAAATATTTAGCAATTCTTGTGATTACCCCGGGTATGACACTGGAGTATTTATAAAGTATGGACCTAGATTGATTCATTTAGGGAAAATAGGTGTTTGGTATTTTAAACATTTCTTCTATAAAAAAATTTGTTCTAATTTTCTTTTTAATTGTTGACTCGCCAACAAGTTAAACTTGTGCTACTAGCTCAATGCTCATTGTCAATTCAGCCACAAGATTGAATATATCTAATTTCTATTAATGTTGTGAAATTTTGAACTATGTTTATGAAGTTGTGTTGCTCTTACTTAAATGCAGGCAGTTAAAGTTCAGTCAAATACTCGTCAATTAGACAAGACACCAACACAAAGACTGCTGCAGGTGATTGGTATGCTTTCAGTAAGCTCCTTTTATTAACATATTCTTAATATTTTCAGTAAGCTCGTTTTATTAACTTGTATCGTTTGTGTTTGAAACCTTATACTTTAATGTAGTAAAACAACCTCCTGTATTTTGAAACAAAATAGTTGAGTCTGGGCTTAAAAATTGAATGCAATGCTAAAGTTTGGGAAATTTCTGACTATTCATGTATTTATTTTCCTAAATTAGTATATACAGTGGTCATGCATTCCTATCTGCCTGTTATATGTTTTCAAGCACATGGTCTTTCTTTCTTTTATAAAGACTGGATTTATCTTTGCTCTTGTATGCAGGGAAAGATATGAGAATTATAGTCTTTGGTTTTAGGCCTCGTACGAAACAGGTAATTCTACTTTGACATCAGTCGTGCCCCTCTTATACGATGAAGTCTTAGTTATTGCTTAAGGCTATGTTTGGATTGATGGACCAAAGTGGAATGGAACATAATTAAATAAAGTGGAACTGAGTGGAATGAAACAAAGACTCCACTCCATTGTTTGAGTGTTTTAATTATAAAATCTCATTCCATTGCATAAACCCCAAATCTGATGAAACAAAAAGTGGAGGATTTGATGGAATGGATTCCATTATGCTCCATTCCACCCCATCCATTATTTGTAAATCCAAACAATGAAATCTAATTACTTACCACTCTATTGCATTCCATCACACGCCACCAATCCAAACATAGCCCAAGTTTATCAAATTTGTGACATTTATTTTGCTGGAATGAATGTTGGCCTATTACAACTATGATTGTAATTTACAAATTACAATACAGGGCATCTGAAGTAGCCCTGCAACCCATATTTTCAAGTGTTGTGAGCTAGTGAAAATTTTTGTCGTAAACATTTGTGTAGAAGCCTTTATTTTCTTTTAGCATGTTTAGGATCTAATGTTGGTTTTTAAATCTTAACAGAGACGTGCAATATATGATGCACTACTGAAGTGTACAAAGCCAACAATATTATGGGATCTTTATGCTTTTATGCCCGGGCCTTCCAGTTTTCAGAACACTTCTCCGTTGGTGCGCTTATTAGATGAATATTTTCGACTTATTGGTGATGTTTCACATCATGCTTCAATGGACATGATTGAAAGTGGGTCCTTCACCTTGTCAAATGACTTATGGAGAATAAGTGGTGTGAATTCCAGTTATACAATGTGCCAGAATTATCCATTTGCTTTGGTTGTTCCAAAGAGCATTAGGTAATTTATTGAGAACCGAACTTTCTGCTTTTTCCTAGTTATTGTTATATTTGATAATGTTGAATCCACTGAACCTTTCCTTTGATAACTTTGACTTGTCCTGATGTAAGTGATGATGAAGTGCTCCAGGCTTGCAAATTCCGCGCAAGATGCCGACTGCCTGTAATTTCTTGGTGTCATCCTGGTATGTGCAAAATCTTAGTCACATTTCTTTAAATTTTTGGCAGTCCCATGCTTCCTATTTTTATTTTCTTTCCTTTTCACTCTTTAGCATTTTACTATTTTAATGTGAGGATGCACTTCTAACATAATGGAACTGTTGACTATAGTTACTGGCGCAGCTCTTGCACGTTCTTCCCAGCCTTTAGTTGGTCTCATGAGGAATATGAGGAGGTAATGCAAACTGTTTGTTTTTGGTTGGATGTAACGAGAACAATATAAGATATATTAAGTTAATTCCCAAGGATGGAAGTTTTAACAACATTCTTTATAAACAGTTTATAAGGAATTAGCCGGGTATTAGCATTACTCTTTATTGGAGTTATAGTTGTTGTTTCAGTGAGTGATGCTTAGTTTTTTCTCTATGTAGATGTTTTTTTGTGGGCGATGAACTCTGCTGTGCTAATACATTTTCGTTTTGCTATTTATAGTTTTATTCCCAGTCCTTGATTGTTTGAATGTTTTTTTAAATGTCTTTTATGAGAAATGAAATTAGCGTAACAATAACAAGCTTTATGTGTTTTCGTGCAGCAACATGGATGAAAAACTTGTGGCCGCACTTTGCAGCAACCTTGATGGCTCAAGGAGGTCAGATTTGTATATTATGTTCTTGAATTGTAAACACGTATTGGTAAAATTCAGCATGAGTTATGCAACGACATTAGACATGAACTATTTTTGCAATTTACTTATTAGCTTGGTAAAAACATGAATTCTGCATCCGTATTAAGTATCAGTCAGAAGCGAATCAAGGAGGGCCTCTCCCGAAACCATAAGCTGTTTGGGTGGAGGTTAAAGATTGGTTTTCATATCTGTAGCGTGCTCCATAGTGCAATGACCATATCTCTAACAACCTCAACTCTTAGCTGTTAGATGAAAGCTAAGATTTAATTTTTCCTCAAGTAATTATTGTATAATTGACAGGAGCTATTCTTAGGTGGTTTATGCATTCTTGTGTTTAGGGTGTGATCCTCCATGCATTTTTTAAAAACATTCTAAAATTTTATTTCTAAAAAATTGTATAGGAAGACCTAGGGAAACTAAACTATAAGAGAAGTTATTAAGAAAGATCTTGAGCTTAACAATCTAGATAAAAACATGGTCCTGGATAGAACATTATGGCGGAAGTTGATCCATGTAGCGGACCCCACTTAGTGGGATAAGGCTTGGTTGTTGTTGTTGTATTCTAAAATTGTATTTCTCTTCTAGAAAGCTATATATTGCTGATGCGAGACCAAGGAAAAATGCATTAGCTAATGGAGCCATGGGAGGTGGTTCAGAATCATCATCAAACTATTTTCAATCTGAGGTAGGCTTTTGAATTGTCCACTTGTTTTTTCATTTTAAATTTTGGCTTCATTTTTACGCATTAACATTCTTAATTTATATATTGTCAGATTATCTTTTTTGGGATAGACAACATTCATGCAATGAGAGACAGCTTTGTTCGGCTCCGAGAATACATGGACACTCATGGTAGAACATCATCAGATGGAATGTCATCTTTTTTGGTCAGTATCTGAAAGCTAAAATATTTTTGCTATTTCTGTTCTCAATGTACTGAGTAGATTAGCAAAATAGGTTACTTTGCAGTTGTCTAAAAAATTAGAGTGTTGGAAGTTATACTTTTTTTTGGACAACTTTTGGTTGATTTACAAAACCTGAATGTGGACTTAGGTATTAGCATAAAAGCAAAACTAATTATTCCCTCTCAATTCATCCTGTAGCATGGTCAACTATTACAGGACTTTGATAACATTAAATGTTGTTCATAACATACTGCTTGGTGGTACTTTGTCTTTGTCATAGTTTTATTTATCAAAGCCCAAAGTTGTCTGTAATGACTGCTTAACTTGGGCAAGATTTCCAATTAATGACACTAATACATGTTCTACTAAACTTGTTTATGACTGGCCAGAGTAACTTTTGTGTAAAATTAATTAATGAAATATGCGCTTCCAATTTTGAGTTGTATTAAGATTGTTTTTATGAGTTCTGTTTAGAGACACGGTGGGTCAATCTGGGGTGGCGGCAATTTAAGCAGTATGTCTGCTTCAGTATCAACCCTTGGGGACAGTGGATGGTTGTTGCACATTCAGAATGTCTTAGCTGGTGCAGCTTGGATTGCTGCTCGTATTGCTATGGAAAAGGCTTCTGTTCTTGTACATTGCAGGTACTATGATACTGTATTTCTCACTAGTTTAAACTTGTAAAATAAAAATTACAATCTTTCAATCTTTTGATATAACGTTATGGCGTAGTTTGATCCATTAGCTGACCCCACTTAGTGGGAAAAAGCTTGACTGCTGTTGTTGTTTCAAATTTTTGCCTTGTATGATGAGTGTGCCTTTTTTTTTTGGTAGTGACGGATGGGATAGGACAAGCCAGTTAGTTTCACTTGCTAATTTGTTGCTTGATCCATATTATCGGACATTCAAAGGGTTTCAGGTAAGGAAATGCCATTACTAAACTATTTGAACGTCTTCTACATCAATGTCACCATATGAAGATACACAAATTTCCCCCTCTCTGCTCTTTGACATTGCTGTTAAAATTGAGTCAGCAAACTCATTTTTTAATTGCGTTTCTTCCTATACAGGCACTTGTTGAAAAAGACTGGCTAGCATTTGGTCATCCATTTTCTGATCGTGTGGGAACACCATCTATCTCTGAATGTGGCAACATGTCTTTCGAGTTATCTAGGCAACAGTCTTCAAATAGCATCCCATCATCACCCATGCCCCAGTCATCAGGGACATTCACGTCTCAATCTCCAGTTTCATCTCATGCACACAATTTAAACAACTACTCTCCCATTTTTTTGCAGGTTTGTTCCTCAAATAAGCTATAGACATCAATGAGTATTAAAAAAAGCTTGGTTATAGCTTCTTTCTCTAGACGTTTCATTAGAAATCTGTCCTTCAAATTGATGCTTCAATGCATATTGCGTACTTATATTTTATTTCATATTTTGGAATAACTTGAGATAATCCTTTGAAGGTTTGTATCAGTACAAATTTAATTGTGTGGTTTTGTCAGTAAGTATTGACATCACAAATAATAAGAGATTGATTGTTAGCCCAACTTAGACCCAAAACTTAGCAAGCCAAGAGAATTTCAGTCTTTATTTAGTTTAATGGGCCGTGACTGTGAGTAAGTTTCCTTGTGAAATTTAAATAGTAAATAACAAGGCTAGGCAAACCAATATTGAGATTTTTTACACTGATGAACAAATGATGATAATAAAGTTTTAACTTTTAAGATATTATAGTTTCCTGTTTGTTAAACTCATTTCTCTATTGTGACACTTTAATTTCATGGGTTATTTTATATTATTTGTTTTTAGTTTAATTTATATGCATCGTCAGTGTAAAGATATTTTACATTTGCATCCAACGTCGTGTTGCTACATCATGTAACGCCACGTCGTGTAACGTGACTTGTGAAACACATCATTGGATGTATGTGTAAAATAGTTTTACACTGACAGTGCATACAAATTGAATCTCAAGTTTTTGGAGGGAGAGGATAGTAAGGGTGTTTCGTGTGGTACTGTCCCGGCTTAGTGAAAGGGGGAGAGGAGGCGACGGTGGAATTGAGGTGAAAGGATGGAAAATATGCTTTGTAGATAGTGTACTATTAGATATGGTGAGGTTGTTCAATACAAGGGTAAATAAAGGATGTGCATCATACAACATTTGTCTCACCTGTGCATGTTAGACAAAGCTTGCATAAATTAACAATCTTTTCATCTATTTAGTTTATCCTTTACTATCTGAAGTTATAAATTAACAATCATACACTAAAATATGCTGAATCACACCCAATATGCCACAATACATTGTCAAGATAATTGAAGGAATATCTAGATTTTTTAATTTAAAAAAAAATTCCGATAAGTCGCGATAGGGCGGCGACACACCGCGATACATCGTCGACACGTCTCTAATATACCACCGAATTGTATCTATTTATCTCATGTCTGTTCATTTTTTCTAGTACATGAATCAAACTTTCCCCTCCTTAATTACTCTTCTCTCAACTTTAATTACCTCTTCTCCCTCCTATGTAATTTGTGATGCACCCATTTAATATTCTCTCATGGTTACCATTTTTCAAGTTTGGTTTCCTTTTCCTACAATCTTTACCAATTTTCAATTGTTGTAAATTCAATTTCATGGTTTTGATTTAACATTGATTACTATTCCAATATCTTACTTTAGATTTAATACTTAGTAATGTTCTCAAAGTTGTCTTCTAAGTTTGATTTTTGTTAGACAATGATTTAACTATTGTCTAATTTTAATTTTTATATACGTATCTTAAATGTATCGTATCCTATATTATATTTTAATGACTGATGTATCGCTGTATTGGATATATATTGTATTCAATACCCGTATCATGTCTATGCTTCATTGATACGTATCGTGTCTGTGCTTTCACTAATATGATGCATGTTGAGGTTTAGACCATGTAATCTTGATGGCATTATTCCAACTCATTTTATCTGTGCCTTTAGAGTTAGTGATTGATTTGGATTTGAATACATGTTCCGTTTTTTTCATAATACTTACGTTCAGTGTCCATGTTTATCATGAACTCACTTACTTGTATATTTTTTCAGTGGGCTGATTGTGTGTCACAAGTGATGCGGATGTATCCTTTTGCTTTTGAGTTTTCTGCGGTATATGTTCTTGAATATTTCTGTATTTGTTTTCTTTGTAAAACTCTTTATGTATCTTGCTGGCTGGTAACTTATACTATTTCATTATTCAGGCTTTCCTGGTAGACTTCTTAGACTGCATGTTCTCTTCTCGCTTTGGAAACTTCTTCTTTAATAGGTATTTCTGTTATGTGCATTAAGGGAAGTGCAGTTTCCATGTATCTGGTTATTGAACTCTGTTATGATTGCTTCTGTTTTTCAGTGAGAAGGAGAGGCTGCAGTGCAATGTTTTTGAAAGTTGTGGATGCGTATGGGCATACCTGGCTGATATGCGTAGATCAGAAGGAGGTTCCCATGTGCACTTTAATCCCTTTTATGATCCCTTTTATGGGCCTCTTCTCCCCCCAGCAGCAGCGTTAGCCCCAACTTTATGGCCCCAATTCCACCTTCGTTGGGCCTGCCCAGAAGAAGCACAGAGTGGAGAGATTGAAGCACAATGTAGGAAGATAAAACTGAAAAATTCTGAGATGGAGAAGGTAAATGTATAGCACGGACACATAACACGACAGAAACACGTTGACACTACCACGGTAAAAAGACATATGACACTTGACCTTTTATCCATCTACTTTTACAAAAGTAAAAAAAACTTTCTGATCAAATTTAATGTTTTTAATTCATCATTGATCAACATTGCTTCTACACATCTTTAATCCTTTTAGATGTATTTGAGATTTGTCTAAGAAATGTACAAGGTCTGTGGAAGTAAAAAGAACATTTTTTTTGGGACACTTGTTTTATTTGTCTGACACATGTCGTATGAGTGTCATATAGGTGGTAGACACTATTTTTAAAGAATGTTGAAGCATAGAAAAAATCAATATTTTTGGGACACACTGAGTTTTTTGACACGGATTGTACGGGTGTCATACAAGTGCCGGACATTGCGGCACACCTTATCCTTGAGGCGTATGTGCTTCATAGTTATTGTTGCAATTTCCGCGTTCATTGCAGTCCGTCTCTAGTTGGCTAAATTGTGGCATTTGACTTGTCTTCATTGTAGCCTCCAACACTTTCATTGTGTTGGGTTTGAAGAGGGTGGGTTTACTCCCAATTTGCTTAGAGATATGACCTATGTTAAGTTAATGTTAAGTTAATAAGTCAGGACAATCCTCACCTTACAAGCCGGCTTTGTAGGGATGAGTTAGGACAAATGCAATTTCTAAGATGGTATCAGAGCCTATCTTAGATAACTTGTTGGGCTTTCCGCATCGTCCACGCTTCAACCTCATCAAGGTCCAAGCGTGAGGTGGTGCATTGGAATTTCCGTCTTCATTACAGTTTGCCTCTAGTTGCCTAAATTGTGGCATTTGGCTTGTCTTCATTGCAGTCTTCAACACCTTCATTGTGTTGAGTTTGAAGTGGTGAATTTAGTTCCATATTGCTGAGAGATGTGTGTTAGTGTTTATAAGTGAGACAATCCTCGCCTTACAAGACAGAGTTTTGTAGGGAAGAGTTATGTCCAACCCAAATATTAAGAGTTATATTCTTAATTTTCTAATTTTTATTATGTCCTATTCAAAGTGAGTTGAATTGTTTACAAGACAGTTTTTTATCAGAACAATTCTGTATTGTTTATATATTGTCCCAAAGTGAGTTGAATTGTTGATCAGTTGGGATTTTCCTTTTAATGCTATTTGTGCTGTGTGTGATGGTAACAGGCTAAAGAAGTGACAGAAAGGAAACTTAGAGAAAATACAAATGCTATAGAATCGTTGAATGCGGAATTGCGTCGTGAGAAACTGTTAAACATCTCAGCTATGACCAAGGCGAAAAGGATAATAAAAGAAAACACAGACATAAAGCGTGCAATTCAGTCAATTGGGTGCAAGATTCACATTTCTAATACCGGTGATTGCATTCTTGACATTGAAAACAGTCCAGAGAATGCTGTTCAAAAATTGCATTTTTCCTCTAGGCAAGTATCAAGTAGTGCTGTGAGTAACGACAAAAAGGATATATCTCTTTCCGTAACAGAAGATGATGATGGAAACAATGTTATTAGTCGAATTTGTGAAACGCTATGCCCTTTTCGCAGTAGAGATGGAGGCTGCATGTGGCCGAATGGTGGTTGCGCTCAAATAGGTAGCCAGTTTGTTGGTTTGAAGGCAAATTTTGATGCATTTGACCGGCTTTCGATTGATGACAGTTATTTCAAGCCCAAGTAAACTGAAATTTTTCTTCCTAAATAGACTGATAGTGAACAGCTACATGGACCAGTTTTGGTTTTCTTCTTTACAGGGGCATTTTTTGGACTCTCCGGAATTGTACAGGCTATTAGAGTCGGGTTGATTGAACCATGGCGGTTCTCACTATTATTTACATGTGTATAATTGTAAATTTAGGGACATCAATAGTAGCCAATTGCATTTGAATCATTCTTAATAAGATCAATTTTGTACAGAAGATCATGTTTTTCTATTGTTAAAATTCTTAATGGAGACAATCAAACGTTGTGATGTAATTACATTACTTTTCCATTTCATTATGTTCACAGTCTGATAAGGTTCAGCATATGCTAAAGGGTATTCTAAAACTTAACCTGCTACTCATTACTTTCCAATTACCTGTCCTTTTTTTAAATTGAATTATAAAATGTTATTTTTTTATTTCAAAAAGGTTTCATTGAGAAGGTATTACAGACTAATAAGATTATTCTCAAAATTCAACAACTCATCCCAAAAATTGAAACGAATATCAGAATTACAAAAATATATTTTTATAAAAAAGTTATTTTTTATCAACGTACTTTGATTTTTTTAAAATGCCAATTTTTACTTTGATTTTTTTAAAATGCCAATTTTTAAAAAAATTACTACCAATGTCTGCATTGGATACCATACCCGTACCTATGCATGGAATATACACTTAATAGCTTCTACACTCATATCATAGGAAGCTACACTTAATAGCTTCTACACTTTATAGCTTTTATTTTTTAGGGTGGAAATTGCTTAATAATATATATATGTGGGCATACTGCGACCAGGGTAACTTTAACTATTTAAGTTCCTTTTTATGAATAAAAGTTCTGAAAAGTTACATTATAAGAACGACAATGCTAAAGAAAAATTCACTAAAATCACATTATAAGAATGATGTGCAAGTGTATTTATGTGGGAACAATAACAAACCAAGGGAGTAAATATTTTGAAAGAGTGACAACCGGCAAACTACGATTTAAAAGAGTTCACTGTAACTTTTCATTATGTGATTCAAGGATTATAACCACCTAACGTTCTATAACTGCAAAGAATGATAGTTTTGGGGGTTAATATCTAACTATTATTGCCCTGTAACAACAAGCAGGTCCATCTGTTACGAAAATGAAACAAATTTTCTTTGAAACAGAGTGAAAATATTAAAGTAGCATCATCATTGTATACAACTAGTAATACAAATATCTATTCATTCCCCTGTGATCCAGTACCATCGGCATCTTCGTCATTCGGAGACCGTCCTCGAGCCTTCCTCTCATTCCACCTTGCCCATATCCAACTCGAAACAAGGAATGCTCCTACTGCATAAATCTGTAAACAAAATGGAATAATTTTTTAAAAACTCATCAAAGTTATCACTCATCACTATTTCAAAGTATAACACCATTAAACTAGACACTTAATTAAACTAAAAATCAAACTGAAAGATCTTGATGATTCTTTCACTCTGATCTTCTAACAAGTTTAAATAGTGAAAATTACTTAACATTTGGTACCCAATCCAAGAAATACAAGAATGAAAGAAATATGCTAAAAGTCCCATGTTGGACATTGAACATGCACTTAGAAGTGGGGACAATCTTCATCATATAAGTAGATTTTGTAGAATTGAGGTTGGCCCAACCAAGTTTCTTAACTTGGTGTAAGATCCGGTGGACCACCGGCTATTATTTCACTAACCGCCACAACAAGTGAGGACGATCCTCATCCTACACCGGTATACATGTTGGTTTTATAGGCTCAGAACCATATTTCTTAACATAATCTTCTAACCTTCTAACAAGAACATTAGTCACAATTTTGAACCATCCAATTTCAAAACAAATCTTAATCACTCAATCATTTCACAACTACACAATTCAAGTTACTATCTTTTCAACAAACTTATGTGTCAATTTTCTTGTGTTACCAAAACCCAAATCTGATATATACATAACATAGAGTTGAAATTTGACTTAAAATAAAAGAAAATAAATAAAAATAAAAATGTAAACCTAACCTAATGAAGAATTGAAAATGAAAAGAATACCTGGTAAAGCTTAAAGGGATCAGAAGTCTTGGCAGAAAGAAGCTGAGAATCAGGTTGAGCCTGAAGAGGTTCGGGAACAACGACGGCGGATTGTTCGGTTTTCGGAAAAGTTACAACATTAGGAGCCTTTTCTTTTTTCTCACCCTGATGATGAAGCTGATGATGGTGGCGTTTTGGTGGGAAGAAAAAAGGAGGGGAGTTTGAAGTTGAAACTGAAATTGCGGAAGAAAGGGATGAATGGATTCTTGGGCGTTTCAACTACTTCTTGTTGTGGTTGTTGAGTAGTAGTGGCGGTGGTAACCACCACTGTTCCGGTGGATTTGTCACTCATTCTGATGGCAGAAATTGGCAACATAGCTGCGAAAACTGTGGCTGCTGCAACTGATATTGACCTTGACAGTACCCTCGGCACAACATTTCGCATCGAAAACTGTCCTTTTTTCGGATCTCCGAAAATTGTCTCAAATAGTTCATTTGTTGGTTGCAAATATACCTGTAACATAGCCAAGTTATAGTTATTATTCATCCAGGTTATACAGAAATAGAAGACAAACGAACAACAAACTGCGATGTTCAGGTTTTCTTACCGCAGTTAATCTGAACACTTGAAGAAGGATGAGTATATTCGTCATCAAGAAAAACCATTTTGGTAATAATAGCTTTGTTTCCCCAATGTAGTTAGCAAGAACTGTTGCACCAGCTGCATTTCCAAATGGCCAATAACCAGAAATAGCCACACTGAAATATGTAGCTAATATAACAGAATAACAAACACATAGTCCTTTGAACATTTTTCCTTTCACAGGAGGTGCCAAAGTTGCCTACAAAATCGCACAAGAATTGCATCTAGTTAGTCTCTTGACACATGTGGTAAAATTGATTATGGATGTGTATGTTTGGTTTCGCTTTGGGAAGAGGCAAAATTCTTCGAAAAAGACTAACATGATGCTAAACTAACCTGAATTTCTGGAATGATTCCACTAGCGTATGTTGTAGCTATGATTGAAATGCCATTGAAGACACCAAAGAGTTTATCTGTATGAGAGCCTTTTATAGAATAATGTCTCGGCGGTGCGTCTTTCGAGTGACCTACATTGGATCAGAATAAACACAATCGGTTGAATGAATCAAATGGCAGGTTCTGTCATACATCGTTAATGCCATTGTGTCTTCTTTTACTTACCGACGTATATCGAACCGACCGTTAGGCACGTTGCATAAGTCACACAGAGAATCAGAGAAATCAGATTAATGTGTCTCAAGGAGTGAAAAGATGGAAGTTGAGCCAAAACCATTGTTACAACTCCACATATAATGATAAATTGGTAAAGCTTCATTGCTCCTTCTGGATGATAGAGTTGATAAATGAACTGCAAGAAGAAGAAAATTTTGAAAAATTCATAAAAGCTATAAAAGGGAAAATTGAAATGACCCTTTTCATGTTACTACCTTGAGACTCTTTCCTCCAACAAGAGGACCGCCAATTACTGTCCCAAAGCATATGATGAATTGAAGAGGCCCTATGTAGTATCTTGCCCATCTAGGTCCTGCAACAACATTTTCAACCAAATTATGAGTCTTTCAACGCCTCTGAAACAAGACGTGTCAGTGTCAGTGTCAACAATCAGAGTAGCTCATCAACCACTTGCGCTACACCTCGGCGGTGATCTAATCAATGATAAAAACAAAAGAAAAGTAGTAAAGGAAATTGAAGATAGAAACTAACCTAAAATATCTCTAGCCATATCTCGAAATCTAAGCTGGCGACGACCGAGCTGAGCATGATGTTCTAAGACAAGAGATAAAAGATTATACGAATAGAATGTGATAACTCCTACAAGAATCAACCAAATCATTCCTCCAAACCAACCCAGAAGAGTGAATGTAAATGGAAGTGTAAGAATCACAGGTCTAACAATAGATGTTGTCAAATGATAACCACAGTGTAACCATGATCCTACAAACACAACCATATACTAAATTAATCAACAACATAGTAACAACAATAACATACTATAGTTTGAACACTACTAACCATGAGATACAAGAACAAACTTTGCTCCTGCATCTAATTCAGGTGAACCAGAAGAGTGAGGATCAATTGCAAAACCCTTTTCACTATCACTTGTATAGATTTCTGAAGAAATTCTGTGAAAGTATGAGGCTGAAGTACTTGGATTGCAATCATCCATCCGTTACACAGGGAAAGAAGCTGGCAGACACTAGAAAATTCAACTTCTAAACAGCTTGTAAAGAACTCTTGATGTCACACAAATCAACATTTCGTCTACCACAGAGTGCCACAAATTTATCATTAAATTGCAATAAAGGACACTTATCTATCAAGTTCGAACCAACATAACCATCTTTGAGAAAAACAGTACTCCTTACACCTTTATTAGTGAGGTAAAATATCCCATGATGCTTTATTAAGCAAAGAAGCAATTGTGACGGCAAAAAACACTCTGCATGAAATGCGTCTAGCTGGGCAGATGTCATCCTCCTCTCCATGGTCAAGCTGAGGAGCTCATGAATCACCCCCAAGGCCCGTTTTTGAGTTTTAGGATCTGCAGTATCAAACCTTCTTGCGTTCAAATAAGGTGAAGGAAACTCCAATTTCTGCCACCGCTCAAACTGTTCAAGGAAATTAACATTTGGCCTAAAACCAGCAGGAAAGTTCACTTTAAATGCAAATGGACCAGCATAGTTTCCATCTCTTGAAATCTTCACCTTCTTATCCACGCTTGGTTTCATGTTCGCAACAACTCCTTCCTGTGCCAACCTATTGTATATTTGGAACTAGTTATTTGATATCCAAACTAATTTATAATTATAATCCTTGCATTGTAGGAAAATTAAAAAATGCGCTTAGCAGCTTAACAAAAACAAAAAATTAAAAATAAACAAAAGATTTACCTAGTTTCTCTCGCAGTAACAGCCAAAGTAGAATCCCAATCCTCCAAATAAACATAATCCCTTCCATTGAAAGCCCTAACAGAGAAGAACTGAGGGTACTTATCAATCAAACACCCTTTAAAATCACAAGGCAAACCCATCTCAGGTCCAACAAACTCAACCGTTTCAAGTGGAATCCTACAGTCAACACAAAGCATAAGCATCTTCCTAAGATTATTAACCAAAATCGGCTCCATCAAAACTCGGGCCCGGGCTTCTTCGTGGGCCACTCGACGGGCCTTATCAGTGAAATGAACGAAAGGGGGAGATCCTGTAACGCGGAAAATGGTGGGGTGTTTTTCAATGAGGGCCATGAAGTCCCATTTGCGAACAAAGCCGACATTTTTCTCGAGGTCACGGAGGAAGAGAGGGTTGTTTTTGGGTTGGGATTGGATTATAGATTTGAGTTCGAGGATTGTAGTTGGTGTCTTACGAAGCTCCATTACTCTGTCGAGTTCGGGGACTCTGTGGTATGTTTTCTTCTTTGGTCTTCTTCCGCCGCTTGATTTTTGACGGAGGGTTGAGATGATTGTGATGCGCAGCGGGTTTGAGGTGATGAAAGGAACATTGCGGCGAAGCATCGGAGGGAGAAGAAGAAAAAGAGATTGAATTGAGGGACAAGGATCGGTGATTTAACCCTTATAAATTCACATGAATCAGGTGTGGAACTAACGACGTTAAATAAACATTTACTGGAATGCAATTTAATTTTCTTTCATAATTTGGAATTGAATGGAAGTCATTTATATTGTGCATCTTACTTTTTATGTTGCATTTTTCATCATTTGGAATTGAATGGAAGGCATACCAAGTGTTTTTGGCCACCTAGTTTTTTTTATCGATTTTCTAAATAATTAGCTAAGCAAAATTTCCCTTTATTTGAACTCACTAAGAAAAGTTTTCTTTAATTAGAGAATTGGGAGCAAAAATGTGTATTTAAAGTACACATTCATGCAAATGTCACCATAGAAGCATTTTAGACTACCTTCTCCTTATTCACACTGCAGCACTAAAGGGAGAAATTTTACTTTAACTATTATTTGATAAATATTACTTTTTAATCCTTTAAAATTATTTCGTTTGTCAAGTTAATTATTTTTGTTAACTTTTTTTTTTTATTATGTATAGCCTTCACGCCATTCGAATGTACTTTGTCGCGCGTTTGTGGATTTTCTTTGCCTCCAATTTATTTTGTGGTAACTCGTCAGATTGCAAATAGTGTATTATAGGCATCACCCGACTAGTTGATTGAGAGACTTCGACGAGGTTGGTATCACCTTCCACAATACTAGGAATTATGAGTGTCTTCTGAATTACCATGTAATTGTAACTCGCTCTCTTCGAGCTAGTGAGCTTAGACAATAAAACTGCCTTAAAATTTTGCTCCCTGGACACATGCATTATCTCTAAAGTTTTAAAGCACTCAGAAAGATCACGTACCTTCTTCAAATACTGATGAGTTGGGGCTCATTTGTCTGATATTCCTCATCAACCTGTTTTGATACCAACTAGAAATCACTTTTGGCTTTGAGAGTCAACGTGCCTGCATCTAGGGCAAAAACCATGCTAACGAGCCTCATATTCGGCTTAATTGTTACTACCTTTGAACTCGAATTATAACGACTGTTCAATCAACACATTGTCTGGTCCATCTAACATTATTTATGCGTCGCATCCCTTCACGTTGGAGGAACCATCTACTGACAACATCTAGATGGGTGAAGTTTCCTCACCTATTGTCAAACTGAAATTTTCCAGAGAATCCGTCAGTACTTCTTATTTGATGCTTCTCATGGGTAGGTATTGGATGTCGTACTCCGAGAACTAGAAGACCCAATGCATCATTCTTCTTACTAGACCTGGTTTCTTGAGGACATAGAGAATGAGATAGTTTGTTTTTACTATTATCCGATGTCCTTGGAAAAAAGGCCTAAGCTTCCTCGCGGTCACCACCAATGCCAATACGAGCCTTTCAATCTTATAGTATCAAGCCTCAACACCCTTGAACACATTGATCATGAAATATATAGGTTGTTCAACTTCAGTATCTTGAACGAGTACTGAGCCCATTGTCTGGTCAGTAAAAGACAAACAAAGGTATGGAGACTGACATGTTATTTGATCGGGAAAATAGCAAGTGTACTATTTTTACCAATTGTAGTAATAAGGGAAAAGTCCCAAGTATCGATCTCGAGGACTGCGTAGTAATTAACAGAATTTTTAGGATTCAAATGAACAAAAGGTCTAGTGGTTTGTTTGGTAGCAGAGTAATATAACAAGTAAATAGGGACTTATGAATCAATCTAAGAACAGTGTTAGGGGAGTGGAGACGATGCGAGTAAAGACCCTGTATGATTATTCTACTATACTAGTTATTAACCTTAATTTATCAGTTGGTCACTTTAGTTGCCTTAATTCCTTAATGAAAATCCTTTGATGATTTTCCTGTACACTAATTCCTCAGTGTCCATGAAAAGCATCAAGCAATAGTTCCGACCATAAGATACGTGATACGGGATATCCTCATTCCTAAGCAATATCGACCGTGATACTATTTTGCAAAAGTGTTAGGTTGACTTTCCAGACTAAAGCCTAAACACGATTCGAATTCTACTTTCCAATATGAATACGATTAAGATTAATGCAAAATAAAATATATAAAGGTAATAACATAGTTCTCATAGAATCATTAAACAAAAGTCATTACATCGCACTTAGGACCACCCCCTAACAACTTGGGGTTTAGCTGCTCATGTTCTTGGTAAACATAAAAACAATTAGAAATGAAAAGGAGAAGATCATTACAATGCAAGTTGAAATCCTTGGATCATCAATTGCTTCCGCTTTTGATCGATCCTCTGTTTCCAGCCGACTCTCCTCTCAGTTGTTAATCCTAATATCAGTTCAAAAGTGTCCCATACTTTCTAAAAAGTGACTCTTATATCTAAATTCAAATTACATCGCGAAATGTCTCAAATGCCCTTCGAAGTAGGTCTGACAGCAAAAAATCAGAAAACACAAAAATTTCACTCCCAGTGGCTCTGACACGGGCCGTGTTGTGCAACACGAGTGGCCGTGTCAGGCTGCTGACTTCTTAGGGCGTGTCTCATCTTCAAGGGCTGCAACACGGGCCGTGTTGCATGACACGGGCACCCGTGTTGTAAGTCTGAGTCTTCTTTTCTTCTGCTTGGGTCTACCTGTGTCTGCCAACCGTGTCCTCCATGACACGGGCCGTGTTGTGCAACACAGGTACCCGTGTTGTAGCTCTGACTTCCCTTTTTCGACTTTTCTTTGCCTCCGAATACGGTGCGATTGTCGTGCTATCCATTCCTGCCAAAAACACACTAAAAGAAACCAAATCAAACGCACCAGCGGCAAATGTAATATAAACTTAAAAATAAGACTCGAAGACACACAACTACGAGTAATGCAGATAATAACAACTAAAGCTTCGACAAACAGATAAAAACATTGCGAAATTAACGACAAACAGCGTTTGAAAACACAATTGAAATCCACCGATCAAACTCCCCCGAACTTGAACTTTTGCTTGTCCTCAAGCAAAAAGCTCGCCAAACCGAACTTAATATCTTTTTCGTAACGGAACCGTCCATAGAATTGTGAGTTACGGTGATAATACTCATACTTGAACTTCTCATTCCATGTCCCCTAGGATTAATCTCGGCTTTTCCCTCAAAACAGGTAACATGCAAACACTAGACTGCGGTAAACCACATACCTCAGTCTCCCAATGGGTAACCTCTCCGACTATACTTTGTACTTAAGTCTTCTTTTTCGATTTTTCCTCCCTTTCATTCGGACAATCACTATACGGCTTTTATGATTTTCCTCGTGTGCACAAGATTTATCAATGACATTTTTCTTTTTCTGGCACTGTTATTCTTTTTGAATGGCTTTCAGGTTCGACCGCCGTTGGGCTGAATAACCGGGTGAGGGTTACCCAACTTAGAAGGATTAGTCGCCTAATTGCCCTTTTTTTTTTTCTTGTGCCTTAGCTCAATATTTTTCATTACCCTTGCACACACGATTATTTTTGATGAAACCTGATTGTCAAAATAAACTACTCAGGGGTACTTCTCAGATCAAAGCACTATGGTACAAATCTACACGTCGAACTCGTTCCTATTTGGGAAACCCAGGGTGTTGGCCTTTTACCTATCTCTCAAGATTATTCTGATTTCATCCTCACGGTTCTTTTCTGAGTATTCTATATACT